CCTCAAGGATGTTGAATTTTTAAGTGTTCCAATGCTTTATTAAGTTGCGATTTAAATAGTTCAATTGTAGGAGTACACACTACATTAGATGGTAGAGAATTCCATGCGCCGCACACTCTGACTGTCAACAAGTGATACCGGCAATCAAGGTGGCTGTTCTGGGTCTTCATCTTTGGTGGATGTCCCCTGAGGTGATCATTATGAGATAAAGTCAGCAGAGAACGGCAAGGGTGGTTTGGTTGATGCAGTATGTGATATGCCAAGATTAGGTTCCCTCGAATTCGGCGGTATCGGGATGTGTAGAGTCTCAATATATGCGGTCTTTTGGACTATGTCTTGTTATATAGACCCTTTACCAATTTCGTTGCCAGCCTTTGCGGACGTTCTGGAGCCTTCCTGTCGCGGTTTAACCATGGATTCCATACTTGACCGGCGTAATCCGTGTGTGGCCGAACGAACGCTGATAACAAGCGTGGGAACAGTGCTCTTTCGAACTGCCCGAAAACACGTCTGAGTAGTCCAACTTGCTTTAGAGCCATAGATGATGCTCTGGCACAGTGCGTGCTTTCTCCTGTACCATAACTCCCAAATCCCTTTCAACAATGGCATGCGGTTCCCCAAAGCGTAGGAGAAACAAGTCTTATGCCGCACTGATATAACTCTGAATTTGGAAACGTTGAACTCGCTATCGTTGGCGATTGACCATTGGTTGGCTGCGTCGATCGTTTGTTGGAGTGCTATATGATCCTCAGGATGTGCTACAGTTCTCCAGATATTAGCGTTGTCTGCAAATAGCAGTGTATTAAGCCAAAGAACATGTGACAAGTGGTTTATGAATGCAAGAAAGAGACGAGGTCCCAGTATGGATCCCGGTTAGCGGTGATAAGCTCTGATAGTGAATCACCAACATGAACTTACATGGTACTTTGTCGGAGAAACTCTTTGATCCAGTCCAGAACCAAACCTCTTACTCCGTAGTTGTAGAGTTTTTGCACTAGAATTTAGTGGTTCACTTGATCAAATGCCTTGGAGAAGTCCAAAGAAACTATATCCAATGACTGGCCTGCATTGACGGATTATGTCTACTCACCCCGTGCAAGGAGTAGGTTTGTGGTGCACGAACGCTTGTGCTGAAATCCGTGCTGGGTTAGAGACAAAAGCTCATGCTTCCCCAGAAATTTCATCAACAGATCTGCCACAATAGCCTCCATGACTTTCAACAATATCGGAAGAAGTGTAACGGAACGGTAGTTGGCTGGATCACTGCGAGATCCCCCTTTGTAAATGGGAGAATGCGGAATTACTGCCTTGTTGAACATCCTTTGTTAAAGAATAGCCAGAGTTTCATAAATGTTATTGGCCGGCGAGATCAGAGTCCGGGGATGCATGTTGCCTGAGCCTGGGGATGAATTCTTACGCGAAGTTAATAGTTTTGCTTTAACTTTCTCACTGTTAAAAACCATATTATCCAGTGACGGATACGGCATACAGGGTAGTTTGCTTGGAATCTGTAATGCTTCGTGTGTCGTTGCAGTAAACACCTGAGCGAACTGTGTTTTGAGGAACTCTGCTGCTTCTAGAGTGGTGGTTGAAACACATCAACACGACCTCAATGATGGTATTCCGCATTTCAACTTCCTTGTAGAATTGACAAGTTTATAGAGCAATTTTGGATCAGAAATTAATTTTTGAACCAGAGTTTCTTGGTACATCAATTTTTCCTCTCGTACAAACTTGGTACACTGATTTCGCAGTAAGGAATAATTATTCCAATTTTCGATAGATGGATATCTTCTGTACTCCCGCCAGGAAAAGTTCCTTTGCTCTATCCATTTCTTTTTTTCGGCTGCAAATGAGTGAATGAACCATACGAAATATAAATCATTTAACCAGATTTAAAGGCACGGTTTCTACTTTTGACCCTTCAGTTTTTTGTATACTGATTCATTATTTTAGTTTTTCATTGATCTGTTCTGTCCGGTTGATGATACAAACATTCCTATTGACAGTTTCTCATCTTTTCTACTAAAGTGACTTCTTCACGAAAAATACCGGGTCATTTAATGATCAAACACTTTGCTGTGATATAACAATCACTTTCTATTAAGTTGTAGACACACATTCTAATGCTTTTTTCTGAGAAAGAATTACTGTTCTGATCACTATTGGAGCAGCTTTGTGGCTCACGCAAGACCACCGTTCCATTACTTTTCACTTTATCGCATGCGAGAATAAAGTTCACGCGGTACCTCGATGTCCCTAGATTGATCTTGACAGTTTTGGTTAACTTCAGGACTGCTTAATCATTTTTCGAACGGTCTAGCTGACGATGTCTGAGGCTGAATATTAACAAATATTCGAGGATACTTTTTTCAGTCTTGTGGCAAACTGAAGTTATCAGACTCTATTTACTAATCAGATGAAAATTGCCCACATGATGATGATGAACTCTTCAGACTCAGAATAATTGCAGTTACCCATCAGATAATCATTAATCTTGAGTTATTGCACATTGGTTGCACAGTAATTCCCTCATATTTGAATGTGTGCACCTGATAACATTCTACAGTTTGGTTAATCTACCAGATAGTTTCGGCTCTCGAAACTCATTTTTGAGACAAAATTTTCAAATTTTCATACTCCCCAGCTCAGGAACCGTTTTCCAATAACACCCCATTTTACTAGATTTTCACTACAGATCACATTGCAGTAGGAGCAATTCTATAAAATAAATACCGGCTATCAACAAAAACATCTTATTAAAAATAGGTCGCATTTACTGCATTTCTTTGAAATTCTGTCAGAAGACAGCTCGAATTCCCCAATATAATTTTGTATAACAGGTCATGTGTATGCTGTTCTTGCGGGGCTATATAACGTAGATCTCAACTGGACGATTGAAGTCTCCATTTTCCTTATTCATAGACAGAAAGGATTGTTCCTATTTCGAACGTACATCATGATTGAAGTAATTCACTAAAGACCTTTGTTTGTTGTGCCGATCAACCGAGGCAAAGAGACGTACAGTAGACTTCGTGCTATACAGGGCAAATCAAGCGTAAATTGATGGGTTAGAAAGTACTGTATGGCCGCTTCGACCTGTCTGGGTCGAATCAGCAGAGCAAATTTGTCAACCCATCTGGGGACAGAAACCAGGAGCCTAACAGTTAGAACGCAAGCGTATTACTGAGTCATAGCCCTGCAGGCTAGTGTTGAGAAGAGCATGATTCAATGCCTGTGACAAGCTCACAACAATGGGTTGAACTGCATGATGAAAGGGGAAAAATGCATAACAATCTGATCAAGTGGATTGTATGCATGCCTTTGACCGCGGGGTCACAGACTCGATTCCCAGCTGGGATATGGGATGGGATTCAATGAGATGGAAAAACCCTGCATTACTTTCTAGCTTTGCAATTTACGCTTCGTTTGCTCTATGCCCGACAACTATCTACTGTACAACTGAATCAAATAAGGAACTGCTCTCGTGTAGAAAGAAATGTCTTTACCCACATGATGTACTGTTTGTAGTTGTCATTGAAATGCTTAAATTGAACTTATAATCTGATTGATTGTAGATTTCAAATCCCATCAACTTTGTATCTGCCCTGTTTCCTATGCCCCTGTAATGGATTTGGTGCACGATTTGGGTCCTAATTCGTGATCTTCTTCATTCGAGAAGCCAGAAATACCAGTGTACTCCTCCAATAACTATTTCAGTTACCTAGCCCACACAATATGTGATCACCGACAGCTGCATGACCAAACTATAGATTGAAAGAAAATGAAAATCATGAATCCCCAGATATTGGATAAGTAACAAATTATGATCTTGGCAATGTGTTATTTAAACTTCATTTTAAATTCAGTTCCCCTGTGATCTCGAGTCGGAATTTTGCACCATTGACAGATCAGTGAAACGGATTCCTACCGGAGCGTTGAGGAAAGCATAAACCAAAGAAGGCGTATGTGAAGATTTTGTGCCTGAAGAACACTGGACAAAACAAATCCCGGATAAATTGAGTTTAGTTTCGTTAAATCAAACTTGTTACAACTTATGTGAAAC